TCCTTCCAGATTATGTAAAGCGGTACATTTAGTGTGAGGACATTTTATTACATGGGATACAATTGGGGTGAGGCCTCCCAAGAAAGAATAAGCCCGGCACCTGAAAGGCCAGGAGCGGCATGGCGGCCACAGCTGTTCTGTGTAAGACCTGCGTCAGGAATGCCCCTCACCTTCCTCCCCAGCCAGGCGTCCTTGCCGTATGCTAAGCCGTTGCTCAGAAGTCATTTTCTACTCTGACATCATCCAAAGGCCAGCTGTTCACGTCCCATATCCTCCTCTTCCTTCCAGAGTCTCGACCTTGAGTAGAAGCCAGGATGGGGACCATTCCTGATAAGGAGGATCACTGGATTTCGGGCTTTCTGAGGACAGGGTCATTTCCTGACCAACGTCCCTAGGCCAGGTGTGGCTGGGCCAGTGGAGAAAAGGGGGAGGGGCAAGGCCAAGTGCAAGATGGGCAGATGGCTGTGTGCCAGGGAGAGTGGGATAGGCGGCGGTGCTCGTTAGCTGAATGAACTCACAGAAGTAGCATTGTCACTGGATCGAAGACAATTGCCAGAGATGGCCTCCTTGGCCCACACCATCTAGATTTGGAACCTCTGTGTCTCCATTTCTTCCACCTGTGTCCTCACTCCTCAGAACCCTACACGCCTCTGCCTCCCACCCAGTGACACTTGGCCTTGCCTGGTATTCGATATCTCCTTTTGTTCTTATCTTCTGAGCATTCTGGCTACTTGTCCGCACATCAGTTACTCATTTGTCCATGTCTCTGATTCAAAGAAAAGTTACTGGTGCCTACTGTGTGCCAGGCACTAATCGTGGCCGTCTCAGCTTGGTGGCTCCCAAAGGGTGGAGCCACCACTTGGGGAATGCCCCCCGACTGGCGTCCAGGTCAGCAGCCAGGTGGTCATGGAGATGGTTCCAAAAACGAGTTGGGGAGGTGTGGGTTTCGGCAACAACACAGAAATCTTTAAAAATACACACATCTGTTTTATTAAAAATGTACAGTTTGGGGACTGAAGGAGGAAAGTAGTGTTTCTCAAAGTTCTAGAACTACTTAGCAATACCCAGGATGTTTGTGTAAAAACACCAGCTGGGAACCTGCATTTGAAACAAGCTGCCATGTGATGTTTAGTCACCCTGAAGTTTGAGAATCACTGACTAAGGGATGGAGTGGGGATTGAGATTGTCTCGATCCTTCTGGCTTTTTAGGGTTCCAGGAAAAGACTCATTTGACTTTTTACAAACAAGCTCAGCTGACTCATCTGGGGCTTCCTGGCGTTCCTTTCTGTCAGCCACCAAGACACTGAAAGAGTTAATTCAATTATGGGTTGGAGAGCCGCTGAGACAAGGCCCCAGGATGTGAAGGCCCACCCAGCCCACCCAGCCCACCCAAGAGCTTCCCTCATAGCCTCTGGGAAACAGTCCAGGGCGGAGCTGCTTACCATAACACTTCTGCCACATCTGAGGGGCTCTGCTTCTCTTCTTGGCATCTGCCTCTTGGCTCACATCACAGAGTACTTCATCTTCCCTCCCCTCATCCTTCCCTGGTCCTTCCTTTCCATCCACGTTCCTTCCTCTCCACTCCCCTCTAATCTCCTTCCCCAGGAACCAAGCTACAAGCCCTCTCCTCTGTCTGCAGCAGGTTGGAGGTCTGTGTGCGTCTGTGCTCGCCGTGTCTTGGCCGTGCACATGAACCACTGTATGTTAGCGGTGCAGGAACAGGCCACGGGCCACGGAGGGCAGAGCACTTAGAGTCGGGCTTAAGATTCTTCTGCAACTGCAGACAGTGTTTGGTGTGTATGGGCACACAGCTACCTCACCTGTCAGACAGGGAGCCGGGAGGAGATGTGTACAAGGCCAAGCAGAGACAGCTCTTGGAGGAGGGGGTCTGCTGGTTTTTGAGGAACAGGGCCTTTCTTGCATCCCAACCCATGGAGGGAAGATGAATAGCCCTTCCCCACATTCTGAGGGGACACCCTCAGATGTGGATGCGACAGGCTGTCCATGGCAGGCAGGAGAATGGGGCAGGCAGTGTGCAGCCTGTCCTACTTAGGAAACTAGACGGTGCTGTGACCTGGGCCTCGGGGAGCTGGTGAGGGTGACAGGATCACAAAGAAGTGAGTGACCTGGGACCGTACAGCTGCTGGCTATGAGGATCCTTGGTGAGCCAGGGGCAGGTAGCCAGAGAGAAGGTAGGAGTGGAAGCAGAGTGTGTCTCCA